AAATATGTTGGTATTTGCTGTCTTGCAGGAATTGATAAATTTAACCAACAAGCAGAAAAGGTAATTATATAACAAATGGTTCTTTCAATGCATTTAAATTGTATTTATTTAAAGATTTCTGTCAATCTTTAAAATGCACTATCTTGTTTTGCGTAGCTCTGACACTTGATTTTTAAGGACTCACTCCAAGCTCTTTCTAGATGACTTTCTTTCTCTTTAGAGACTTTTATGAGTCATGCCCCACATTTTCATTTGTATGACCTTCCTTCTTTGGGGTGTCATTACTGAAATGCTGAGCTAGATTCTCAACATCAGTAAAGGTACATTGCTTTACTAGGTTTCAAGGTGCTGAGCTAATATATGCAAATATAAGGGGCCTGGGTTTCAATTTTATCCCATCCTAGGAAAAATATATATCAACATTTCTCCACTTGGTATTTCATAGGCCACAGTAATGATAACTTCTGCATTTCTATCTCATTTGATTACCACAAGATATTCTTAGCATATAAATGTTAATCATCTGTGCAAACAGGAAGATACCTGTTTACACTGAGTACATCCAGCTATCACTGAAATACTTCCTAGGCCTGGGTTTTTCCCTCTGAACCAGATGCAATTCCTTTTCAGTGATTTAATTGCTTCCTTTCCATTTAATTACTTTGAAGATTAACTGCAGGCAAGTGTATTCCAATAATAGTCTCATCTACAAAGAACAGGAAGCTTTCCCTGTGGTTGAGGGAATTCACCACTTCCGACTGCAGCTCAGCTACATAGCTATCAGGTTTCCCTTTGCCCCTGGGCTTTATGTGTCACCTTGCCTGTTTGAGCAAAGGAAATGTCATGGGATGAACTGCTTGTTCTTGAATTCTCATGTAGAGCTCCTGATAGGAAATAGAAGTCCTTCTTGCAGGGGCAAAAGATGCAAATATTTCAAGCCCAAGTATTAAACTACTAATTATATATCATTAGTGTTGAAGATATCTAAGATAGTTTCCACTAATAAATTTCAGGGGGAAGTTAAAACTTCAGCTTTTTATTTGTTCATAATATTATCTGGGCAAAGATCCTTTTTTTGTTCTAACATGCATACTGCAAAAAGTGATTGATTCAATCTGCATTTCATGGCAACTACTTTGCTTCAAAGCTGGAACTGAGATCACTGCTTTCTGTATGTAAAAATGACACATCATGGGAATTTGTTTTCTCCTTATTAGGTGAAGACTGAGTGATATTTTGAGACAATTTGTGCCTCAGGGATTAATGGACTTACAAGAAATTTCTGTTGACTTCAGATTACACCAAAGTCCATCAGAAAATTTTATGCTGAACTAGAGCACCATGACTGTGAGCTCCCCACACCTGATTGACCTCTTGCAAGAACCAGATATAATACACACATAGCACCACAGCCTCACACAGATCCATTGATTAGAAGAAGCGCATGGGATACAGGTGGGAAAAAGGACCAGGGAGCAGTCACAAATAAGAGGGCAGAAATTTGCAGATAAAAGAAGAGGCGCTCTAACCCCTTTCATTTTCTATGGCACAATGCTCCCTGGTTAATGTGGCAAGACCGGTAAATTGTAGGTGCTCTGTAGCGAATGCTAAAGCAAATTATTCTGCCTTGGGTTAGTTTATTTTTTTCTGACAATGCATGGGATATATTTTTAGTCAAGAGTGCTTTTCTTCTAAAAGGAGTTGTACCTCTCAAATTCTAAGAACATTTCTGTTTATAAATGAAAGTCTTATGACTCACTAAATGATCAACATCCGAGGAACAATGAATAAAAGACATTTTTCTTTTATTTACTTTTTTTTTTTAAATGGAAATTGACCAAAGTAATTTGATCTCAAATTTATTCTCATCGGTAGAAAAATACTCATCTTAAATCCAGTAAAACTGCCAACAAGTCTTCAGGTGCTTTCATTTAATCAAATTTTGGAGGTGATTTTTGCTATCTCCTTTAATCATAGATTTTGGTTCTAGATCTCTTTCTCTGCTGCTTGTGGTAGGTGGGGGAGACTTCTTTTTGTCTCACCCAGCAGACATACTGCCTATTTATTAAAATGTATAGCTGTACAGACATGGCAAATATAAATATGTGTGGGAAATAAGAAGGGTTTCTACTAGGTTCTTTGTGTGAGCTACAGCTAGGAGGTTAAATCTTACCTCCTTATAGCTTCTACCACCTTTGATCATAGGATGCATCTTGTGGGCTATATTTCTGTTTGTACATCATGAGCAGAGTATTTGTCTTTCCAAAAGAATCCAGCACTGGTGATCCAGACCCCATATGTGATCTACTATAATTTTAAGATCTTTTTGAAGAACTTGCTTTCTAATGTCATGAATTTGTGTCTTTGATTTTGCCTGTACTATCTTGCCCTTTTCTCTTAACCTTACTCTCATCTCTAATATAGAATGAGTTACATCCTAGTTTCCAGTCCGTTTCTCCAGATTTTTATTTTTACTGTTATCCTTCAACACATTTGGGGTCCTTCCTAGCACTGTGTCAGATACAAAACTAATGAACATTCTGACTATTCTACCATCTGCTAATTTGCTAATGAAAACCTTGAACAGAAGCAGCTCTAAGGCAGACATCACCACCACCACCCCCCCAAACCCTGAGAATGATTAGATTTTATTAGTTTCTCTATGGTGTGGTTATCTAATCCGTTATGTGCCCACAGAATAAAGGCTACATTTTTCTTAGCTTGAACGTGACAATATCAACTGTGTCAAGAAATTTGTTCAAGTAAAGGTACATGTGTTCTTTGTCTTCTCACCTGTCATGGAACCCGTTACTTGGTCACTGAAAGAGTGAGGTTTTTTGCTCTGATTTGTTCTTGGCAAATCTATGTTGGCTTCTGCTTCTCTCCCTGTTGTTTTCTAGGTGATGCAAACTGTTCCAGATTTATTCTGTGAATTGAAATTAAGCTGATTGATCTAATTCTGTCATCTTTCCTTTTTTTTTTTTTACTCTTCAGTTGAGCAGACACTAACTTTCCTCTGCTTACTAAAAGTCACAATAGATGCATATTAATATCTTCACAGACAAAGAAATATGCACTTAGTAGTAAAACTAGGTGTCTATCACATTAGTATTTTAATTGTGGCAACCTGAAAGCATTTGATTTCCTTTGGTTAAGGAGGATTTACAATCCTATCATTTCATCTCAGTTACACCTTGAAAATACTAATAGGAATAAAATCTTTAAATATATCTGAAAGGTTTGGAGATCACAAGTTTATGACCATCCTAGAGTAGGTGTTTTGATTGTGGTCTTAGATTAGAATAAGTGTCTCAAAGATGCCTTCGGCAGGGAAATTTCACAGAAATACTTCATGGGTGTAAAGGGTCCAAGATTTTGATGATTTTAAATGAAACTCCAGATTTTCAGCTTTATCTTCACCATAACTGAAGATGGGATCCACACAGCCTAAGTTTGGCATTGGAAGAGTTACTTGTCTGGGCTACAGTAACTCTGCAGGCTCTCCTGGGCAATGGAGACAAGCTGACACCTCCTTCCTAAGAGGGGTACAAAGCAGATGAGATATCTTTTCTACTCTCTTTGATCAGCACTAACATGAGTAGTGCAGATGGGTTTTGCTAACTTAGGGAGATGCTGAGGAATGCAGATGAAGGGTCCTATGGCAAAAATTGGTGGCTCTTACAGGAATTGCTGCTGTTATCTCAAGTGTGTGAATCTTCAAGTTACGTTGACATCCCTGCTGGATAAGCCTAAAGTTGAGTAAACAAGCCATAAAACAAACAATTTTCTTGCTCATCATGGTAACATGACATGTCAGAGTTCAGGCATGCCGATAAGTGAATTTCTATTGCTTATGATATGCTAGTGCTGTATGTAAGTAAAGAATTTACACTGTGAAGACTGTTTGTTGGGATGAGGGAAGAACTTCTGTCTTATTCTTTCAGTAGTGAGGAAGATGGCATAGTCCACAAAAGGAGAACTTTAAAAGGTATTTACAAACATTGATCATAACAGATGGAGTCAAACACTGATCATAGAGATGGAGTCATAATTCATAACACTGATCAGATCAGAAGGGACCTCACTATATCTCTAGACCAATCTCCTGCTCAAAGAGGAGGGGTCTGCAAAAAGCCAAAAACCTGAAGGTTTAAATGGGCAAGACACAAAGCAAAGGGACAATTTTTTAATATTTATGCAAATAAACCAATATTTAGAAAATGTGAGCGAAGAAAAACCTCCCTCTGTGGTCAGACAGTCCTATATCTGTCCTTTTAGGAATATTCATAAAAATGAGTAAAACAAATAAAAAATCCATGTAATTTGCATACAGAAAAATTCTTTGGAATTATTTGCAGATTTGATACACAATTGGATATGTGCTTATTCAAAGAGAACATTGTTTAATTGTTCTGAATTTTTAATGCAACTAATTGTTTCAGAATTTCTTTTAGTTCAGGTATAAATAAAGAGAAAACAATGCACAGTGTTTCATTTTAGGTTCATTTAGGTTTGCCTGAAATATTTCAGGCAAATGTAAAATAAAAATTAATTATACTTGTTTGATCTTTGTTGTTTACTTCCCCCCCCCCCCACCCCTGAGAATATTGCTTTATCTTACTCTGGCCTGAAGTTTTATTCCCTTAATTTTCTGTGGCTCAAGCATGAACCAAAATTTCATTAATTAGTCAATTCCAACTAGTGGCACCAGCCACAGTCAGAGAAAGGATCAGCAATGAGATGTACATAAATTAGAGTCCCAGTCAAAATGGTGTCAGCTTATCATGATATTTTGGACTTTCATAAGCACTTGTTGACTGGTTTTGTTCTGTTACTAGAGCCAGCATTTTTTAGGAGATAAGTGAATTAACCAAAATTAATGATAAACCAGCTTTCTACAGCAGAACCCTCTTTTTTCTTGACAGGTGGTAGTTCCTGTTCACAGACAATTACAACACTAAGTCAAATGAAAATTAATGCTTTTTTTTTTTTCAGAAATCAACACTTTTTTTTCCAGACATCTGCAATCATGTTCTGACACTGAGAATCACCACCCATGCATTAAATATTCCATTAAAACCAATCCAGTGATGTCTGCATCATCAGTTCACTTTTCAGCTCTGCTGTGCAAGGCTACAGTAAGCTGTTTCTAAACAATTCATTTTCTAAATTGCAGATGTAAATATATATGCATATATATGTATATATGTACACACACTTGACATTTAAGCTGCATTGCTTTGAACTAAACCAGCTGACAGGCCTTCTTAATGCCAATAGCTTTAGCACGACACTGCTTAACTGATTCATATGCAGTAAAAGTGGCACTTGTTAGTGGCACAAAGCATCTTCTGCCTTATTAGGTCAAACAGTTACTAAGAAGAAAAGAACTTCTGTGTTACGTGAGAAGCACATCAGACAAATTCTGTTTTCACAGATGTGAAAGTAAATTTATTATCACTGAATGAGAAATATTTGAGCCTTGCATTGACTTGTTACTACTAATGCTACAACAGTTCTCATCATGATAACACTGTGTGTAGCCTCTTGAGAAAAACTACTAATGAAATTGTCACTATGAGTAGTAGAAAACAGTAAAATCTTCTTATCCTCAGAAAATTAGGTGGGAGAAAGTCATAATGGTTTTTTGCTTACAAAACAACATAGGAACATAAGTCATGATTACTCTGGGTAAACAGAAGTCATATACTAGATTAATCCCATCACTTTCTGTGGATCTCTTTTTCTAGGTTTGTATAACCTGATATGCTAGATAGATTTTGAGTAACAAAAGAAAAAGCGGAATTGCTTTTTATCAAATCCTTTGGTTCTGAAAAATTTTGATATTCATCTTCCAAGTTTATAACTGCAGTTTTGTCATTTTTAATAACTGAAGAGAACAGAGAGAGATAAAATTTTGTTAGGGAAACAAAATATCTCCTTTTTAAAACTGTTTTATTGTCTTTTCATATTTCAGAATGAATGGAAAGGGACTTCCCATCCCCATATTAAGAGATGTGCAACTTCCAGATGCAAAAGGGAGACACCATGTCCTATATATTTTAAGTGTTCATAGCACTGTTCCAACATTGTTTCATCCACTGGACTTCATCCAGGATGATGCTGCAGGTGACTAATTTTATAAATAGCAACAAACTGAGTGTCTCTATGATTTACTTTAATTTGGCCATCTTGGCTTGAAGTGAAACAGATTGTACTGTGCTCCATGCAGTTTAATGGGGACCTATTATGTCATCCAAGTAATTGATTTCCAGAGCAGCAGAAGAAATATCACATAGAAGTCAAATCAGTAGGAAAATGTCTCAGCTGAAGTATATTTTGTCTGCAATCAGAAAAAGAGGGTAGAAGTCTTCTAAGGTAAGTATGAATTATTTAAATATCTGCAAGTTTTACAGCATTTTCTCATTAGTTATTCAGTCATTAAAAGGATTCATAGGTCTCTGCCAGCATCCAATCTGAAACTGTAACTATACTGAGAAGTCAAAAGCTTGATGATAAAGCAGCTCTATCAAAGGCTAGAAGCAAAAGTCCACCTTGAGGTAGGAAATCCATTAATTTCAAATACTAATTGCTTCCTATTGTTGTAAACAGTTACTGTGCATTGTTGATGGAGCAGAGAAAATTACTTGGAAATTATTTTTTTGCTTAGCTCCAGGGATGACCTGACATGATTTCAGATGACTATATATTTGAAGCATGGAAAAGAAGGGATTGGTCACACCAGGCAGATGTTCCAAGGCGGGGCAGTACATCAGGGTCCCATTGCAGGATGGAGTGACTATGCTTCACTGAAATGCCTGCCCTTCCCATTCTGCTGTTTCCATGTGGCGAAGAAGCCTAAGAAACTTTTAAGGGGACATTTTAAAAGCAAGATTTGTGGTGGGTTAAGCCTTTGGGAGAGGTAATTTTTAGAAAAGCAAAAAAATCAAGGAAAACTTTATGGAAACGAAGTCAAACCCAATAATAACAAAAAGCAAAAATGGACAGGCTCAGATTTCTAGTTATTTTTTCTTATTATTGTTACTTAGTTCTTATTCCTCCCCTTGTTATCACTAATCTGCATAGATGTTAGGTTTATTGTGATAGCACGAAGAGGCAAAAGACTATCAACACAAATGCTGAAAAAATGTAAAAAAAAGATGTCTTGAAGCCACCATCACTTTCCAACTATATCTCTTACTTGTGTAAATCCTCTAAATGCTTTATTTTATTAAGGTATTTTAACATTGATTTGTATATAGAAAATTTATTTGACCCTTAAAAGCCTATCCAACAAATATTTTTTTAAGGACTCTACTACCCATCATTCAGTCTTCAATATTTTGGAGTGGTCTGAAACAGTAATCTTTTAATCATGTCAACTTCAGCTGAACCCTGGAAGAGAATGAGAAATAAAAAGGAGAAGAATTACACAGAACTGGTGAAGAGAACCTGTTCGTACTCTAGGATGATGCCTGTTACTCTTTCTGTGATATCCAATCTCATCTGCAGAAAAGAATACGATGGTTCATGACTTTAGACATTCACTGGAGAAATATTCATAGCTAATGTTTCACATTGAGTGAATGGGTTAATAGGTAACTCTTAAATTTCCCAGGAAATTTCCTTGCATAAGTTTATGCAGACAGAAGATGTGGAGGTAACAGCACATCTGCTTTGCCAGCACAGCATTTGGAGAGATTACCATGTTCTAACAAATAACACATGCTGCACTCTAGGAAAGTTTTAAAAAATATTTAGTAGGGGGATGGGGGAGGGGAAATCTTTATGCACCAGGGAGGAAAAGTTCAGAGACTTGCATTAACTCTGCAAATCTTGTGAACCCATAAATTGGTTCTAAAAGGTTTTGCAACACTTGAATTGCAGGAACTCCCTCTGTCCTGAGTATTACTAGCAATTCAGTAAGTCTATATCCTTTTAACAAACAGGTTGTAGCATTGACAAAACTGATTCCTTTGACAGGTGTGTATTTGTCCACTCTTTCAGTTTGTTTGCAATAGAGGTGGGATGGTTCAAAGTGCTGTGAATGGCACAGAGCCCATTTTATCTCTGGAACACAAGTGTGAATCCACCCTCAGTCATAAGTGAATATAAATTGTTTAATTACTGTTTCAATACTGACCATGAACTTTTGAGATAGCTATACTTTGGAAGACTGGCCTTTCACAATGATCAGAGAACATTTATTACAGAATTATTATAAAATGTAAAGAGTGGTGTGCATTTGACATTTAAACTACTTTATCCTCAAGATTTAGCCTGAGATTATATCAGTCATCTCAGAAAACATGTCTTTCTTTGTGATTCATTTTCTTTGTGAACTGGTTGACACTTTCAAAAAACAAACGGTATCTCACTTTAAACAAGAATTGCTGTGATACTGTACACTTTTTCAATTTACCGTCATGATAACTTAATGGTTTATAATATTTATTATCAATTTCTTCATGATAAGAATATACTGGATTTTACAAAATGAGGAAAATCAAAGTTTTCAAATTAATCCAAATATGATACTAAATTTTGATTAATAGACATACATATACATCATTGTAAAATGCTTATTCTACTTCCATGGGTATTAGCTGCTTTAGTCTATCATTGCAATGTTGCAGTCATAGATTTAAAAATATATGCTGCTGCAATTTAATATTTTTGACTATTTTTCTTAGGAAGTTTTCTTTCATTACAATGGGGGTTTTTTTTCTAAATGGCTGCTAGGAAACCTAAGGTATAAAATGAAATGGCTATGCCAACAGGCACGGTTAGTCACATTGTATTTGTCAGATCTAAATATATTTATGCTACTTTTTTCCTTGCTGATTTTTCCTAAAAGTTTCAGATTATCAAGTCAATTCTGCAGATTGAGTATGAGACTAGTTTACACAAATTTCTGAGACATTGATAAAAACAGATGAAGCAGAGAAGGATTAAAGCAAAATCCAAGCAGATGTGTTAGGAATGAACATTGATTGCTGGGGAATGGTATGCAAGATGGAGTTTTATTTAGTCTGCAAAAACATGACATATGTGATATCATGTGATACACACAGAGCAGAAGAAATATCCCCAAAAACTGATGATCTTTTTATTTTTGTTTAGTTCCTGAAAACGTCAGTGGGTAAACAAACTGAAACTGTATCACAATGTCTTCCTCTCTAACACAGATATGTTAAGGCTCTCTAAGGACCGAAAAAGAATTTAACTTCTGTAACAGCTTGTAGGTCTGACAAAACATCAGATGACATGTCATTCTAGTGATGACTCCAGCTGATGATTTACAAAAATGTCACAAAGACATTGCTTTACTGAAATATCTGAACATGATAAAGGAGAACAATATTTAATTTTCAGTTAATTTTGATGTATTGCTTTCATTTTGATCATTATGTTCTTTTTAATAAAAGCAAAACCAAAAAAAATGCACTGCAGTTCAGGGCTGGTGGATGCATGACCACCTATGAAAGGCAAGGGCTGTAACTGTGAGCTGGAGGTGTAGTTGCATTTTCAAAGAGGTAGAGAGAGTGGCATGGGTCTCCAGTCTTGTTTCTCTTGTTACAGTCTCCAGACAGGTCACTCCAACATGAGCTTTTCCATACCCATCACAGTGTGACAACGTTACCTTGGAAAGCACAGAGTCAGAGTGATAACATGGAGAAAAAAAGCACAGACTTCATGATCACTTAAATGATCATCACTGGTTACTTCAATGAATAGAATTTCTGTACCACCTTGCATGCCCCAGTTGTACTGGTTTGTTCAGTGCTTCAGGTCCCTTTCCAGAGCCAGTATGAGACTTCAGCATCTCCAGGTTCCCAAGGGTCTAAAATGTCTAAGAAATTTGCTCTCATAAGCAAGAGACACTTTGGATACCTGTAAAAGACGATTAGAATGAGATTTCAGATGTAGCTCATTGCAAACCAACATGTCCAGATATGGTGAAAAGAAAATCACAATCATATGTAGTTGCAACCCACAGAGATATAAATACATATTGGTATGTATGCACTATATATATTGCATGTAAATGCAATTCATATACATGGAAAAAAAAAAAAAAGCCCATTCTATCTAGTTATTCATATACGAGACTCCTTTTCAAAGGTAACTGGAGGACTAAACTGTATCTCATAGGCATGGACCTTCAATGCAGTAAACAGGCCCCTTACCAACCCAGGAGAATCCTACAATTTCCAACGACGAGAGGAGAAGGGCAAGTCACATATAACATTTTTGTAGCATGTTTCCCTTCCTGTAGGCAACCAAGAAAGACTATTGCTGAGGCCTCATCCTACTGCTCTCCATTCTCCTCTGCCTCTTTTGAGGTAATAGCTGGAGAACAATTCCTATCCACATTAAGCAGAAAGCCTGCAATTCTGCCTGTCCTTCACACAGACATCATAAAATGATAAAAACATATAGGACCACAAATTCTTGTCTAGGTGCTAGAAAGGCTTGATTCACAAGGCAATTTTGTTTTGCCTATCTACAGTGCTTGCATTAAAAAAAAGTTTCTAAAGTGCATATTATGTTAGAACAGGCAAAAAAAAAGACATTTACATTTGCAGAAGAAAATTATTTAGATGACCTCTTAATTCTCAAGAAAAAAAAAAACATTCTAGGATCACTGGAGGTTTTGGAGTCATGATGGAGTAAAAACCTGAATCCAGACTTTCTGCATCAGATGAGGAATATAATCAGTGACTTTTCTCCCTCCATTTTCTTTTTTTTTAGAAGAACACCAGTGGCTTTCCAAGCCTGCCTTTGGTATAGCTAAAGATCAGTACTTGGGCACAGAAGGCAATTTGAAGTTCCATCTAGCTTTTCCTGGTTCTGATGATGGTTTAGTTTCTCTTTGTTTTGATAAATAGACCGAACATGAATATGAGTTAATTTTCTAGGTTTTCAAATATAGAGCACATGGCTTTGGTTACCCTCAAGGTGTCAGCACAGATATGGAACAAAGTCCTGCAGTGTCCATTAATTTGTTGTAGAAATTGATTATTTTTTTCTCTCTTCCTAATGTGAAGTTTTGACAGCATCGACAGTGTCATTCCCCAAAACAGAATTACCAAAAGCAGTAAAATTTATTGAGCTCTGCTCAGGTATCTCTGATTATGCATATTAATACCTCGTGTATGCAAAACTTCCAGCAAAGAAACAGGGAAATTTACCTTCTACACAATGGCACCAAAATGATGTTTGGGATGTAACACTGGCATAGTTGAACTTTTAATTGTTATTTAAGACAATAGAATGAGTCTCTGGAAAGTAGAAGTTTGACCTTCAATTATTTTAAATATTTTTTAAAAACTTGACATATATTAACAACCTTTTGCCATAAATGAGGGTGTACACATTTACACCAACTGGGAATCCAACTCACATGAAACTTGGAATCACAATGGGGTGGGTTTTGTTGGGGCCTTATATAATTTTTATGAGGGCATCTACTACCTCATATAGATAAAGGATAGTGCTGTAAGAGGGTTTCACTTGTAAAAATCTCTCTTGCCTAAATAAAACAGGCCACAAAGAGCTGACATTCTCCCTTTGATAACTACTGAGTGTGCACCCATATCACAGATCCATTTTAATCTTCTACAAAAGCAACAGCCTTCCTTAGTGGAAAAATCAGACAGGTGAGAACAAGAAAATCAAGAAACCAGGTTCAAGTTTTGCACAACATAGATATGTATAAAAGTTTCTAGACCTTAACAGTTTTCCTTAAAAAACTGCAGACTCATATTTACTGAGTTTCAAATCTGTCTCTAATGTATAAAAAGATTAGAAAGTTCTGATGACCTAATTAAGTGCAATTCAGTTAATTTTATATGCTCAAGGCAAGACACTCATTAAAATATTTAAATGCTTCTGCTGTCCAAAGTTTGTTTTAAAACACTTCCTAAACTATCCACATTTTAGTATTTTTTGTAATATAATAAATAGAACACAATAAAAGCTGTCTACTTGCACTAGGGAAAGTGATGAGTCTGAGACTCCTTTGAATTCAGATTACTTTTATTAACATCCACTACTGTTTATCTTTTAAAGTGAAATAAGAGAAGTTACCAAGGACTCTGTAATCTATGGTTTGACATGGGAAAAGTCCCACACAAACAAGGGTTGTGACAATATTTAAGCTCCATTTGAAAATAGGTTCTTGGCACAGCAATAGACACACAAAATGTGTCAAGGAGAAGCTCTGGTCTAAAAGATTGGTGTTGTCATGCCATTTACCTCTTTGTTGGTCTGAACAGACTGTACTACCTATATAGAAGAAAAGCACCATCCTATCTAGGATCCCTTTTGTAACACACATTACCCTTTTTCTTGGAATCACTGATACTCACTGCCTATGTTGAGTCAAGCTTCTACACAGATGACAACTCTTAAAAACAAATTCTGCATCATCCATAAGAAGAATGTGGTTTCTGTCTCATCATTAGTCATGGTGTAACAGCTCCAATCTTTATTTAGCCTAGACCTTGAAATTTGCAGGGTTCAAGCCACAGAAGTGGAGGTCAAGGAATCACACTGAGGAAAGTGAATGAGCTGTGAGAGGAGAGGAAAGGAAAGTGACATTTCTGGAGAAGAGATAATTCTGCAGTGGCAGAAGTAATGTTCCTTTCTCTTTTGGAAAGTTTATTGCTATTCTCTTTTAGGGGGCTTAAAATCTTGAAAGTCTCTTTTTGCCATTAGCAACTCCCAAAGCACAGGAATCTTTTTTCATTCACATGAAATGCACTAGGAGTGAGTGCAAATTTTCTACCCTGGTAAGGACTTAAGAATAGCCTTTTGTGGTTTAGTGAGAATTGTTTTTCAGAGGGAGAAGAAGGGAAGTTGTTTGCCTTCAGCTTGAAATACAGTACTCTACTTTACGGGAAAGAGATCTGGAAAGTTTGTTCATGGAGTGCAAAAGGTAATACCTGTACCCTCAGGAAATCTCCTCAGCTGGACTTTTAACATCTGGGATCCCTGCACTGTGCTAATCCCATATGGAGTGCATTGTCTGCTGATTTAGCAAATAAGGGCAGCCACTTTTTGGGATCTGCCTCCCATGAGATCAGTCTCTCCTGCTACATCAGACTGGGTAGCTGCTAAGGCAGACCCAAAAAGCCATCACCAGTATTACTTTCTTTCAGAAACCTACTTTCTTCTTTTACCAGACAGAATGCTCTTATCTTGAACTCCAGGATCAAGGGGAATGCTTCATCCAGTTTCTCTGGCTGGAGAGAAGAACACCCACCATGACAACACTTTTTGCCAGAGGACTGTGTTTAGAGCTATTTTCAGATACAGCTTTTGTCAAACTGTTCTTTTATGTCTTTAAATCGCCCATGCCCAAAAATCATAAGAAAAATAAAAGCAGTTATGTGCAAATTAGGGGAGTAAGTAATCACCTTCAAGTACTTCATGTTGGTCACGTGAACTGAAGAATAAAATAATAAATGGAAAGCATTCTGGACTATTATATGTATGTCCTATCTTTGGTGGTAGTATCTGCCTCAATAATTCACAGAAAATATTCAAACTGTTTTGTTTAGGGTCTGGTATGTAGGTCAGCTTCTCTAGTGATTCTTTTCCTGTGACTTTTCAGGATATGGTTAAGAGTTTTTTTCTTTTCACATTATACCTCAAAGCATTATGTTCTAGAGATTCAGATTTTGAAAGATGCAGTCATTCACAAATAAGTGAACAAAAGTGAGAGTAAAAAAACTGCTCTGTGAGATTCAAATATAAAAACAAGAGCAAAAGCTGCCTTGTCTTTGTTTTAGCAGCAAACTGACTACCATAATTAAAAAAAAAAAAAGAAAAGAAATAATACTGTCAGGAGGATAAAGAGAATTTTATGGGACTTCAGGAAAATTAATTGTATCAATTTAGCAATGCTGAATACCTAATAATGGTAGGCAGCTGAGAGTGACTCAGCATTGCATCCAGTATGCCCATTCTCTCAGGAAGTGTTTCAATTCAACATGAGAACCATACTGTAACTTTTTTGTGATTGACGATGACTAAGACGTGTGTAAGATGCTAGAGGACTGAGTCACTCTCTTTGCGTTTCTCAAAGTGATAGCAGAAGAAATAATTTGAGGAAATAGCATAGTGAGATTCTCAAACTGAAGCAAATAATTTTTAAGACTTCTAGCAGTTTTCTAAGATCCTATCCCCTTTTACTGCCCCTTTTTATTTCCAGAAGGCAATTAGTTGTTGCTGGCATCCATCTCCAGAGCTTGTTCGATGGACTTGCAAGCTGTTACTGGCTCCAACTCCATCAGAAAAGGTTTGCCTAGCTCCGTGTTTCTGTGCACAAGGTGCCACAATTCCATGAACACTGCTGATTCCCCAGAGCTTGTATTTGTCCTGAAAGCCAGTGTCACTTTTACAAAAATGGTCTTTGATTTTTTTTGCCCACTTTTAAGCCTCTACTGTAGCCAGCTGCTGCACCCTGCTGATTACCAGTAATTGCTTTTGTATATCATTGAAAGTCTCAACAGAAGGAATAAAAAGCAACAATATCCTGGTTACAAGAAAAGAAAATGGGTAGAAACAATGCTAGGAGACAGGAACAACTGTTTACTTTGTGAGCTTAGACTGCACACTGAGAGATGATCCTGCTGGGATGTCTTGGGGGACAATTCCACTCTGAGAAACTCAACAATAGATTTTTTTAAAAATCACAATTAATTGAGAAAATATTTAAAAGTGCATGGCTCCAGTTCTGCAACCATTTCTGAATGCCATTTCATTCATATTTCTGCACAGATCACGATGAAATGTAGGACACACCATTCATCACTATTTAATCTGAATCAGTGCAGATCTTGTTTGCAAAGTCTATCTTAATATCAAACATGCTGATAGGCGTTCTAATCCTCATATAAAAATGAGGAAACAACATTTGAATACACTGCACCATTTATTCTTTTTTCCAAAAAAAGCAATCATCAAAGTAAGTTTAAGCAAAGAATTACCTATCCACATATATACATACAGTACAACTGGATCCAGTCTTGTAGCCCTGTAAGGTGTGGCACTATATTGTGGAGGACAGCCACAATACATCCTTACATCCTGTAAGGATGTTTTAATACTCATAAACTGGATGAATTTGATTTAAAGTGACAATACTAGTACCAACACTGGCACATTCAGGCAGAGTTAAACTCAGATGACAATAAGTCAACAGAAAACCACACAGAACTATTACCACTCATTTGTGCTGTCTGCATTCGATGCTACATCTTCTTCCAATCCAGACAGCTTTAATAAGCCTTTATCATTTAATAAACCTTTATCATTCCTGGAGCCCTTAGGAATCCACATGTTCTTGTGTTTTTGTGTTGTTCCTAAGTAGTGTGCATGCTCATGTCTTAACTTCAGCCTCAAAGTCATTGTTCAAATGCACATTTATCTGTATCAACAGTGGTCACAGGTCTCTTGTTTACAGTCACACCTATCCACTGGGCAGATACAGACTGAAGCGAGTTGAGGCTCAGGTAGCAATCAACAATTCCTTCTTTGCTGCAAATTGCTCTGTTACAACCAGTGCAACAAAACTTATTAGGACATGTAGAACTTACTGGAATATTTCAAGATTTCTTTCATGTCCCTCCAGATACTAAGTTTTCTTTTTACTGGCTTTTCTCACTGCTAGACAATCTGCATGCTAGTTTCCAATGTGCTGCAAACAGCAGGTTCTGTTTTTCTGAGCCCAATCTTTTGAATTCATAACAACTATGCCAGATACATAAAAGAACAGTAAAAGGAGTATTCTAGGAATTTTTTCTCCCTGCTTTTCTCTGGTAGCTTAGTCTCATCTATTCTGTGTCCTGGATGTTCACATCTTTATTGTCTTTTCAGCATCAATACATTGTCTGTCTGTCAGAGGCTCCCTGACTGTGTTTCCTTTGCTATTCTATCTTCTGAAGTCCTAGGACTTCAAGAGCACCTAGCTACAGAGATCTGATTAGAGGGAAACAGGTTCCTGTAGTCTTAAAATAACCCAGTGAAATAAAAAAGAAAGCATGGCTGAAGGCCAACAAGGGCTATGTAATGTATCTCTAACTGTCAGGGGGTTTTATGCTTGTATGGCTGAAGTATCTCAACTTGGAGAAGTTGTCACATGCTGTCAGCACCAGCAGATCCGTTGGTGTTTCTGAGAGCAGCCTTTTCAAGTCATTCTCAGTGAACTCGGAGGCAGAGACATTTTTCTTCATGGAGTTGCATTCTCCTTAGTCACATTTTTCTTTCTGGAGAGGTAAAACAAGTAAAATTGTTATTCCATACTTCACACCTGCAGCCACACTGAACTGAAAAGCTCTCTTGAAACACAGGGAGTTATAACAACAAAGATGCTTCACTACTGCTGCCCATAAGCTCATTGGCAAACAATTCTGATCCTCTGCTATGACAAATTGTTAGTCAGATCACTGCTAGTCATTCCTGAGCTGCAATGAACTGTATGAGTCATATCTGTCAGCACAGCTACTCTTGTAACTGATATTGGTGTCTGTTCCTGGTGCTGTGACAAGCCACACACCACAGTTGATTTTCACATCTCTAACCCACATATCTCATTTTTTATGCTAAGTATGCCCATTTTTGTGTTCCACAGGTGCAGCTTCAAGGTAATGAGCAAATCAGGGCACTGTTGCATACTTACATTTGTTTATAGCAGGTAAATGCAGGCAGCAAACTCTGTAGCCAGATCTCTAGCTCTTTTATGACATACTTCGTTTCATCCAAATTTACCATCTTCAAACCTTTGATCTTTTTGGTAAAGATCTTTGTTGTTTCAGAGTGTTGCACTTGCAGCAGATCACATAAATTCATCCCATGAGTCACTCCAGAGACCTAGTTTGCACAGACCCCAAGTTCAGTGCAAGTTAGATTTCCCATGTGATTTATGGTGATTGGAGATTATTGAGTGACAACTAATTTTTTGCACTGTTTGACCTGCAGCACTCTTGTCTGCCATAAATTAATTTTTTTTCCCAGGTCCTGAAGTGAACTGCATTGTGATTCTCTAGAACTCAGTGTCTTCCGATGCTGAGAATGGGTCTCTCTGGAGCTCTTCACATTGTTCCACTAGATGTGAAAGGTGTCTCTATCACATCTGAAACTTCTCATTTCCCTGACACTGGGAATGGACTGATGTTTGTAAGGACCATTTCCTCATGTTTGATCATGAACTGTGTTCTAGTAGGATGAAGCTGCCAGCCACTTCGTTAATAACTCTTTCTTGGTGTGCTGCATGTCACATATACCATACAGTAATAGCTGATATTTTTGAAGGAAGGCCAAATTTCTGTTTTCCTTTTTAACCATACATAAAAGCTAGTCTGATCTAGTCTGCCTTTCACAGGTTTTGAATCTCATATGTTAAACTACTTATAAATTTATTCCTATTTCCCTAAGGCAGTCAACTCTCCCAGATTTGTTGTTTCTAGATTTAGCACAGCAGGGTCTTAGACATATTTTGGGCCTATCAATAAACAGTCTTATCAAAAGTCATCTTGGTGCATATATAGAAAGATCTATATATAGAAAGCATTCACCATTCACAGCATTTCTGCTTTGTACTGATATTTGCAATAGGATGTACTGGCCTGTAATGATCCCAGTAGTAAAGGCACTCAGACTCTGGAAGGTATTATTTAAAACGCTACTTATTAGAGCTAACACCCCAAGGAGAGGATAGACAATGATAGAATCTTTAAAGTTGGAAAATACCTTCAACATCCTTGAGTCTAAATACCAATCAAGCACTGCCAAGTTCATCACTATACCATAACCCTAAGTGCCACGTCTACATGTCTTTCATATGCCTCCAGGGATGGTGACTCAACCACTTCCTGAGCGGCCTGCTCCAGTGTTTGACAATACTTTCGGTGAAGAAGCTCTCTGTACTATCCAATCTAAACCTCCCCTGTCATTTCCTCTCACCCTGTCACTTGTTACCTGGGAGAAGAAACCAACTCCTACCTGGCTAAACCTCCTTTTAGTAGTTGTAGAGAATGGTAAGGTTTTCCCTGAGCCTCTTCTTCTCTAGGTTAAACAACCCCAGCTCCCTCAGCCACTCCTCATATTACTTGGGCTCCAGACCCTTCACCAGCTCTGTTACCCTTCTCTGGTCATGCTCCAGCCCCTTAATGTCCTTATTTGTAGTGAGGGGCCCAAAACTGATGTTTTGGGGGCCCACCAGTGCTGAGTACAGGGGGCCAATCCCTTCACTAGTTCTTCTGACCACTCTATTCTTGACACAGGCCAGGATGCCATTGACCTTCTTGGCCACCTGGGCACACTGCTGGCTCATGTTCAGTCTCCTGTCAACCCCCACCCCTGGATCCTTTTGTTCCAGGCGACTTTCCAGCCAC